AAATGCGCTTGTTTCTCTGGAAGCCTGCGAGTTCTGGCTGACATTTGCCGAAGATCCAGATCTTCAGGGTGCTCTTCACCCTTATATACCAAGAGTTGCACCAGTGCTACTAGATTCTATGGTTTACAGTGCGGACGACCTTGTATGGTTGGAAGACGGCGTTGAAGATGATTCTGCCGTCCCCGACAATGTAACAGAAATTAAACCACGGCACTATGGAGGACGAGCTCATGGATTGGAAAGAGAGGAAACTCAGGGAGAGACTGCTAACGGACAGCCACCTACAGGTGCAGAAGGTGAAGAAGAGGATGAGGATGCGGATGAAGACTATGACGACGACGAAGACATGTCGACGGAGTGGAACTTACGCAAATGTGCCGCTGCAGCGTTAGATGTCCTGGCTGTTCGCTTTGGCAATGATTTGCTTCAGCCATTATTGCCTCATCTAAAGGAAAAACTCTGGAGCGCTGATTGGAAACAAAGAGAATGTGGAATCCTGGCCTTGGGTGCCTTGGCAGAGGGCTGCATTGATTTCATGGAGCCCCACCTACCGACACTCATTCCCTTCCTAGTAAACATGCTGAGTGACGCCAAGGTAATTGTTCCATAAAGGGCATTGTTCACTATGTTGACAGCTTTTTATAGCCCCTCGTCCGGTCCATTACGTGCTGGACTTTAGGTCGCTACGCGGGCTGGTATGCTCAACCACAAACAGACGAGCAACGCAATATGTTCTTCATTCCCATCATGGAAGGCGTGCGTTTCACATCCTTCTCAATTCTATTTCGGGTGAACTAACCGTCAACTAGTTATTGAGAATGATTTTGGATAACAACAAGAGAGTCCAGGAAGCGGGTTGCAGTGCTTTCGCTACATTTGAAGAAGAAGCAGGTCAAATGCTCAACCCCTTCCTGGAACCTGTTCTACAAAATCTTGTTCTTGCCTTCGATAAGTACCAACAAAAGAACCTTCTTATCCTTTACGACGCTGTGGGAACACTGGCGGATGCTGTTGGAGTTGGGATGCAGAATCCCACATTGCTCCAGATACTGATGCGGCCTCTCGAACAAAAATGGAGCAAGCTAGGTGACGACGACGACGATTTGGTTCCTTTATTAGAATGCTTGACCAGTGTCACAATCGCCGCTGGACCTGCCTTTGCAAACTGGGCCCCGACAGTATATGAACGCTGCTATAGGATTATTCATACAAGCCTGTTGCAATATACCACCTGGCAACAGAACCAAGACTTAGATGAACCGGATAGGAGCTTTATTATTGTAGCCTTGGATCTGTTGAGTGGCCTCGTTCAAGGCTTGGGTATGCAACTCGCTCCCAGTCTTGAAATGTCCAACCCTCACCTGTTGACGCTGGTCGTTATGTGTCTGAAGGTATATAGATTGGACATTCTAACCCGATTCGAACTGATTTCTTGCACTATAGCATCCACAAGCTTCTGTTCGACAATCTGGATATGCGTTGATCGGCGATTTGGCCATGTCTTGTTTCGAAATTCTCAGACCTCATTTACCTCAGGTCATGCCGGAGCTTATTAACCAATTGGACCCTTCACCAAAAGTTGAATTCGTTAGTGCGAGCAATAATGCCGCCTGGTCAGCTGGTGAAATCGCATTACATTATGGCCAAGGTTTGTTCTACAATATTCGAGTGTACGAGAATATTTACTTATCATTGATTAGATCCAGACTTCCAGCAATGGGTCCCACAGTTGATATTACGGTTGATCCCTATCCTTTTGAATCAACATAGCCCCAAGAGTCTAACAGAGAACGCCGCTGTAACCATCGGTCGAATTGGTCTCGTTCAACCCGAGGCAGTGGCCCCGCACTTGGAATCCTTCGCTGTGGCATGGTGCCAAGCCCTTGTTGATATCAAAGATAATGAAGAAAAAGACTCCGCCTTTAGAGGTTTCTGCACTTTAATCCAAACCAATCCGAACGGAATCACCAGGGTGCGTCTTAATCTCATATTTGTTCTTGGGGATTGACGGTGGACTTGTGTGCAGGATTTCATGTGGTTCTGCCATGCAGTAGTTAGGTGGCAAAACCCTTCTGCAGAATTGAACGACATGTTCACAAAGGTTCGTTCAATGATATATAAGCGAAATATGACCTGTTCATCAAACGTCACTAGATCTTACAAGCATTCAGACAAATGGCTGGAGCTCAATGGGAAAACCAAATGCTTAGCTTTGGACCGACTATTGCTGAGCGCCTCCGTGCCCGGTACAATGTATGAAGTCCTATTTCCCTTCAAATTGACTTCTCCCTATTCGAGATACCAGCAAATGCCTCGTACAAGGCCTGCTACTTCCAGGAGGAGTTATCAAATTCTTCATCCGACAAATCTCAATGCACATTGTTTCAGTAGCTAGTTTCACTTCAATTTCCACGTATTTCATTTTTTTTCAGTAGTATAGCATAGCATAGCACTCCTCTCCCGATCCCCCTTCCCCATAAGCAGCATGGATTGTTAGTCATAATGGCCACTCATCACATCGCGAATTTAGGGGTCAATGTACGCGTCAAAATATGGACCCTATCCGGATGGTGGCTCCTGTCTTTCCATGCATTCCGCTCTAGTGCATTTACACATCATGATCGATGCTCTCTCTCTTGTAGGTAGTCATTTTAGGTAGACACTTTTAGGTAGTTTTGTAGGTAGATCAACTTGTTCCTTCCCCTCTTTCTGTAAGAGTTTTTGCTGATGTATCCACGCAAAAATTGAACAAACTCCACGTTCCTTAATTTGACAACGGAGATTACACGTATGGTCCATTAATAAGTAGGTGCATAGACATGTCTCGCGTAGTGTATCAATTCTAGAATATGAACCCACTAACGTAGCAATAACGCAGCTGGGTAAAGGTTCAGTATTCCAACTTGGCCGTAAGGGAGCTGATGTCACTCACAATCTCGTCCTATCAGAACCTTTTTGGGTCCCATGGTCGCCCTTTCTTCGCTTGATACGCTTTGAAAGCGCCATAGCCCACAGCGCACACAGCACCAAAGAAGATGAGCTTGAGGAGGGCCGAAAAGAATCCTCCACCCGTCTTCCTTCCTTCATCATTGTGAGATGAGTCGGATGATTCATCGCCATAGGCTAGTTTTACTGAGTGACTGTTGATCGAGATAACGCTAACCAGGCGGTTAAAAAGCCTGTTTGATTTATTTAATAGTATTACTCACTCATGTTCATCGAAGACATCTCCGGTTTGCGCTTAAAGGAAATTGATTCAGCGAATGCGGCGTCTAAGCAGAAAGAACTAGCTCACCCGAAATGCCAAGATAAGGGTTCAAAGGAATAGTGATATTTTTGATAACGAAACAGTCCGTCCAATCGTCAACTTGTTTGGAGTTAGTGGTTGCAACGCTGTCCAACCAATAGAGGACTTACAGCCCTTGTACTGTAATTGTACCTATCGAAGGTGTCAACACGACAAACAACAGATCTGCTTCTCTACATACCTGCAAGAAATCGTTCTTAAAGTACGTTATGCGGATCTTCGTGGTTATGTCTGTTCGCCGAATCTTCGCCTATATATAATCAGATTGGCCCATTGGGTACTTGAATAGTCCTACCGAGCATGCAGCGATGGAGTTTGCCTTTCCATCATTGCCAATGTCGTATTCGGTGTAGCCATCACCAAGCATAGCCATAACTCGGGGGAATGCATACGTATGGTGGGAATTTGCGTAACTAAGTTATGTATTAGAAATGAATCAAGTAGAGAGTCGACCTTACGTGTCAAGGAAGATGCCAAGCCCTTTGAACTTGTCTAGACATTATGATAAGATATCGCCGGAGTGTCTGTTTACAAATACGTACCCTTAGAACAGAAGACAGGACCTTCGATAGCTCTTTCTTTTGTGAACCATATCGCCATCCCATCTCCATAGAGGTGAGAGGCTTGTCCGGAAATCTTTTGTCACATTAACGATCTTGCTAGCAGCATTTAGGTATAACTAACCTTGAATTCTATCTCAACTTGCCAATTGGCAGCTGTGATAGGTAATCGTGACCATAGCCATCCACATTGTGATGGCACTCCTCTAGTCAGCTGGCAACTTTTGTGAGCAATAGCATTTTAGCTAGGGCGGTAGCATACCCGTATATGTTTATTTGTGTTCTTTTATATGCTTCAGCTTATTTCAATGTAAAGAAGAGTTATCCATCTCACCACATAGGCATCAGCTCCGAAGGAAAACCAACTGCAGACGTGTCATGTCAAGGAATTGTTTAAAAGGGTCAACTGTTGAGCTTTACCGGTTTTGTAGATCTGTTTGTTCAAAAGATTGAGCGGGCAAAATCTCGGTAATGAATTTGTTGGACTGACCAGAATCGACATAAGGAGCGTATATGGAATGAGTCCGTAAAGGTACAGCCTGAATAGAGAATAAAGAGCTTTAGCGAACAAGTATACCGTAACCTATCAAATACCA